GTGTCAGATTTATTCATCACATTTAAAAGAAAAATAATGACAAGAAGCTACAGGTCCATCCATTAGGGCCTGGTTAAATGATACATCACACATTGGAAGTGGAGGCAAAGGGGAAACCAAAAAGGAACTCTGTATTGACGTGCAGCGGATGTACTGAGAACCTCCCTGGGCTGCACTAACCCAGGCAGCCTCAGGCAGCCACAGCCTGCCGGCTACCAGACCGGTTGAAAGGGGCTGGGCGCGCGCCCCGCCGTTGCAGGAGGCGTCAGGAGGTTTGTGATGGTCTCTCCCCTCAGCCCGCCTTCTTGTCTCCAAGGTCGCCTATGGACCAAACTTGCCTGCAAGCCAGCTGACAAGAGGTCCAAAAATGTGGTTTGCAGGCCCTGGTAACAGAAATTTGGAAAAGGAGTTGAGAGAAAACAAATGACCATTATGAAAGCCAATCAAAGCAAATTGTTCCTTGAAAAGGACTTGTTTTCTATCTTCTATCCCTTTAGGTGAGTAAACTTCTATTGTCAGGCACTCTCACATTAAATTAAGTGAAAGCTATAACTGGACTCTGTTGTCTTATTCTTTACTCCATGGTAATTAGTGCTTCCTTTTAAAATTCTGCCCTAGATTTTCAAATGGTGCCATAGTGAAATGTACACCCGGAAATGCAAGACATTTTCCATTAGATTATTTGCTCTTTTTTTAGACATTATACCATAAATTCCTGTTCTGTTGACTTCCAAGAAAAAGCTTTTTTTGTTGTGGAAAAATGGGTATTTTCTTTCTTTCCCATCCTCATGTCTTATTTTCCTTACCCTATTGCATTTAACAATATGCATTTCTGTATCTATATGACTCTCATAATTTTTGCCTTCCCTTCAATTTTCATTAACTTGCTCTATCAGATAGCAAGACATCATTTTACCCTTCATGTTCACTTACTCTCTTTTTAGAAATCTCAGAACCAAAATTTACTGCTCAATTAATGTATTTGGGCTCTAAACAACATCTTTCTAAATAGGTTTGGGCTTTCCCCCCATGCATTTTTAAAGGTTTGCAGTGGAAGTGTATCTCCATTTTGTTGAAATAGTTACCGTCATAGATTTTTGCATTAGTTTCCAGTGGCTGCTATAATCAATTACCACAAACTTGGTAACTTAAAATAAGACATTTATTCTCTTACAGGTCCGGAGGTCAAAAGTCTGAAATCAGTTTCACTGAGCCAAAATCAAGATGTTGGTAGGACAGTTCTCCTTCCAGAGGCTCTAAGGAGGAGTCTCTTTCCTTACCTTTTCTGGTTTCTAGAGATCATTCTTTACATTCTTCAGCTCATGGGCCATTCCTCCATCTTAAAAGCCAGTGGTGTAGGTGGGAAGCATTCCCCCAATCTAGCTGCCATTGTATTGTGACAAGGTCTGGCAATGGAAGGAGAATCGTGCAAGGCACTTCTCCAGGGAACATAATTCTTTAAGCAGAGTCCTTTGTCCTCCTTTCTAAAGCCTATTACTGATTAACGTCTTCCCTCTGTCCTGGAATCCTTGTAAAAACAGGCAGAACTAGCAATAAACATATCTCAAAGAACAAACAGCAGCCCCCAAGGATGAGGGGGTCTATATTGCGTTAATTTATATACTCGCTGTCCTCCTAACTTCTTTGAAGACCCTGAAACTATGTAACCTCTTCCTAAACAATCGATATGTCTGCTGCACATCTGGTATGTAGATGACCACCTTTGATTATTACCTTTAGTCACGCACTGCCCCTCACCTATTGTTCCCATGACGACAATAGTTAGACCACCTTGTGTGATTTTTTCCTATAGAAGTGTACCCTGTCCCCGAAATAAATTGGACTTGCTTGCAACTGCTTCGAGTCTCACGTCTAGCACTTACACTTTCGCCGACGCCGTCTCTCCCGCGGGAACCTGGACTCTGCCGAGGCTGGACCCCGGCAGTGTAGCCTTTCTCTGACTCTGCTCCCCTCTCCTTCCATCACATGGACTTTTCTTCCACATCAAATCTCCTCTGCCTCCCTCTTATAAGAACACTTGTAACTAAATTTAGGGCCCATCCAGATAATCCAGAATAATCTCCCCATCTCAAGAGCCTTAACTCAATCACACGTGTGAAGTCCTACATAAAGTAACGTTTACAGGTTCTGGGAATTACATGTAAAAAATACTTGAGTTCTCTACACTGAAAATAAGTTATTTCTGAGAAAAATTAAAGAAAGCTGAAATAAATAGAATACTCCAAGTTCATTAAATGGAAGATTCAATATATCATAAATGCCGATTCTCCCCAAAGTGATCTACACAGTAAATATAATCCCAATCAAAACTATAGCAAGATTGTGTAAACTGAAAATTGATTCTAAGAAAATACAAAGGGTCAAAGATAACCAAATCAATCTGAAGAAGTAACAACTGGACTTCTATTTCCATATGTCCAGATCCATCATAAAGTCATAATAATAAGACATTGCAGTATTGGGGCAAAGATAGACAAATAGAACTAATGGAGCAAAATAGAATCAAATTTATGGCAAAAATCAACCTGCAGCACAGTGAATGGATGTTGAACATTATCGTGATTTTTTCTGCAAATATGGAGATTATTATATGATTTCCTTTTGTTCTATTGATATAATATATGGATTTTCAAGTGTTAAGCCAACTTTGAACTTCTGAAATAAACCCAACTTGCTCATATTATGTTATCTCTTCTATATTTTTCTGGATTCAGTTTGCTAATATTTTGCTTAGTAGTTTTGCATCTAACATCAAAGTGGTTAGCCTGTAATTTTCATTTTCCTTAATTCTATCTTGCAGACATACTCATACCATACACATCAATGTAAGTACAAAGATGTTCATCACAGCATTTCTATGATAGTAAATAACTGGAGGCAACCTAAATACCCAGGTTAGCAAATGGCTAAAACTTTGTTACAATCATACAATTATATATGGTGGTTAAAAAGATTATGGAGCATGAAATTGTACTACTGTGCTCACCAAAAAGCGTATTACAACTCTACCATCTACCTTCCTATTTCTATATGAATAGAAAATATCCCAGGGTACACATTTTTTCCTTTACTCCAAGAAACGTGTTTTCGCAAACTGTTCTGGGATAGTCAGTTTTCCCTGGCTAAGAGCCTTTATGATGGAATTATTTATTCCTAAACGGATTGAGTTTAAAGCAGACAGAATCACACAATCCTTTTGAAATTCCAAGCCAGAGCGAGGCCGAGGGGCAGGCTCAGGTTTCAGACCTGGAGTACCGTGGTTTGTGTAAAGCCACAGTAGTCCCTCGATGGAGGCGAGTGGGTGGAAACTGGCGTGGAGTTCAGGTATTTCTCAGGCACTTTAGGGCCAGTCCTGGAACGCAGCGGCCTCGCCCTCACCCTCATTCACACTGAGCTCCCGGGAAGCCTCAATCCATTGAAGCTGCTCTTTGCCTGTTAGAAGACAGCCTTCTCAAATACATCTTTCTGTCTCTCCCACCCTTTTTACCCTTTCTGGGTGGTGCTCACGCTAATCCCAGCCCCGCCCTCCTCAATCCTGTAGGAAAGGCTCCCGGACAAGACTGGTTGGTGTCCTTACCTGCTCAGGGCTCTAAATTCTTCCGCATCCTCCTGTCTTCACGCCTAAAAGGGAGGCTGACAGGCGAACGCTTTACATTAATCTTCACAGGAGCTTGCTTCAAGTGTCAAAGCTATTTAGGATGTTTTTGTATTGTAAAAAATTAGAGACTAGAAAAGCACACGATTTAACCATTTCTTTCCATTCCATTCCTCTGGCTGAGTTATTACTCAGCATCTCAGATGCAGTTTTGTGTGGGCGTGGGGATAGCAGATGTAACTGACCAAAGAGGAACTGCCTCTTCGGCTGGGAGTTGGACACAGGACTCCCTCAAAACGGGCAGGAAATCTAATACTGGACCTCAAACAACTTGCTAAAACATTAACTCTGTTGGAGGAACTGGGCACTGAGGCTTACACAGAGTCTTTCCCTTCCCAACTCTACCGTAATAACAGCAAGACAATTTCCAGAGATATGAGAAATCATGGAAAAGTAAATTGAGGAAGAGTACTCTAATTGTGACTTTAGAACATTTTTAGGAATAATATCACTGACTCGGACACCCCATATTAAAGCCGTCATACTCTTTTTACTGATTTAGTCTATTTCCAACAAATGCATAGTCCCAGTTTCTCAGTTGTGAGTGGAACTAAGTTGATTCACAGTATTAATTATAACAACAGGTTCATAATTGAGTCTAATTGTATACGAGACAGTTGGGAGTTAAATTATCCAGTTAGCAACTCTGGATATTAGATAAAATAAATCCATTCATTTTTACAGCTACTCTTCACTCTTTACAAGCCCATGTCCCCTGAGATTCATGCAACAATCATTTATCATATGCACACTGGGAAAGCATCCAGGAAAGATGCTGGGAATAAAAAATACTAAGTGGCAAATTGTGTCCTATCTGAGCCTGTCTTTAATGGTGGAAATGCGGGGATAATACAGTATTCATGGTTGTGTATGAAGTAATTCATATAAAAAAACTGAGTGCTGTTTAAGTGGGAACAAAATTATAAGTGTAAAAACTGTATTTTCCAGCCCTCAAAGGACTTAAGTCTAGAGGGAATCAAGATGACAGTTTCTGGGAAATTTTATTCTACTCATTCTTATTTTCATTCCTCACTCCACCTGTGATTTACCCAGCTTACCTGGCTACAGGTGTGAGCTCTTTGTGCAGAACCATTTGAACTGGAACCTGAGACGCTCACCTTGAATATACTGATACCTAATGTCAACCAGTCTGGGAACATAATTTCATTCTTTCAAGAAATTATTAAGCCCTATATGTGTTTTACTTTCTAAGCTGTTAGCAACTTGAGGGGAAGAAAAGTTTCTTCTTCATCTTATATTCTCTTTATCTAGCAAAGACAGCAATGGGCACTCAGAGTTTTGAATAAATGAATACGACAGCTTGTCAAATTCTGACACTGGATTTTCCTGGTAATCTTGGAAGACATCATGACCTGAGGAAACAATCCACATGAAACAAACTCACAAGAAATTAACACAAAAACAAGGATATCAAGTTTCTAAAATAAGAGTACCACATTACACAGGAGATGTGTTTGTGTGCTGGGTAGCAGAGGTATATGGATTGTGAGAAATGTTACACCAAGCAGGCAGTAATTTTTTAACGTATGGTCATTTTTATGCTCCCAAATAAAATGTACCTATCAAATTAAGATCTTAATATGGGTAGGTTATTTTAGAGCCAAACAAGTGGATGAACCCACTTCACCCAAAGAACACATGGATACTTATATTGATGACAATGAAAAAAAAAAATAAACAGCACAAGCAAAATCAAATTATTATTATCACTCTACCACTTCCTGTTAAGTTTAACAGCCTAGATACAGATCAGTTTTAATCTATACAAGGCTGTGTATAGATTTCTTTCTTAGTTTATTGTGACCTCAGTTTTCAGTTCCTGAGTGGCTCACACTCACTCACAGTAGCCTCCAGGGCTGCTCTGCATGTTGTTTGTGAACCTTCCCTTGTCTAAGCCCCAACACGCAGAAGTGCACCTGAGAGGAACCATTTGAACCCAACTACCGCCAAGGTTCTGCCCACCTTTACAATGGTTTGAACCCAACACTCCATCCATGGAGCTTTGTTTCCAATTACAGGAACACAATAGGCTCTTTCGGACTTCTGTTTGCTTTTCAGGAATGATCTGGAAAACTGGGTGAAAAGTGACCCACCTCTAAAGACTGGGCAGCAATCAGGTCCACACCGAGGGCACTGCTTACCTTCCCAGAGTCAACCATGCCCTCCCATGGCTCCCACTCTACCCCTAATACACATCTACCGTGATGCCTGTACATTTATTTCTATACATTTATTTTTCTACACATTTATAAATATCTGCCTCTTTCTAGTAGTCTATAAGACTGTATGTCCCCATTTAGTAACTTAGTAAATGCTTAATTAGATAACTGATTGATAAAATGGGCTAAGAAATTAATTAGATAGATAGAAAAGGGTCCAGGTTGAATGGGGGAGCTCTGAGACCAGGAGATAGAACAAAGGTGAGTCAATGGGACACAAGGAGATGGAAGCTGGAACTTATCCAATGACCACTCCCCCATAAACTACCAAAGGCATATAAAAAAAAATACATGTTTTTCTTTTCTATAAATACATTTGGAAGGTGGCTCCCAACCCAGTGCTACCCCATTTCCCCAGTCTCTGTTAATCTTTTCTAAACAAAAAGGATGTTGCTGCTGCCTTTACCTGTGGTTAGTAAACAGCTGCCAAGATCAGCCATTATCACCCTAGCTTGAAGTACACGCTCTTTCTGGAGGCAGGAAGGATTTTTACAGGGGCCCCCTAGGCAGGAGGCAGGCAGGCAAGAATCAAACAAGACAAAACAGGCATCTGAAGTAGTCATAAGTATGAATTAGGTTCTTCAGCCAGACATGTACAAGAGTTGGAGCCAGATGGAGAGGCCTACACTTCTATGTCTGGGCTCTCATCAGAGACTCCTGGTCTGAGAAATACAAGAAAATGTCTGTCAGGAGAGTCAGTATCAGGAAGCAGGGCTGGGCTAGGAGGTGGAAGGGGCCTCTCTCCTCTTCAAGAGTCCTTGACCAGAGAGGGTTCCTCCATGCTCTCTGAGGGTGGTGGGGCTCCAAAGATCCTAGCAAGGAGCCCTCGGTTGGAGCGGGCCTGGTCCTGCACGTTAGCCAGGCGAGCCCGTTCACGTCCCCCTGGCCGAGCTGCCTTCCGGGCCCTCAGCTCCTGCTCAGTAGGACGCTGGGCAAAGGCCCAAGAGCTATCCGGGCGGGCAGAGTCCCCATCAGCAGCAAGGAAGCGCTGTCCCCGCTCCACACTTTGAAGATAGAAGTCAGTTTCACGCTTGGCCTGGGCAACCTCGGCCCTCAGGCGTTGCCTGCGCACCTGACGCTCAAAGGCAAGATGCTCGCTGAGATGGGACCAGGTGAAACGGTGCAGGTACTGCGGACAGGAAAACAAGAAAATATCTGGGTAGAGTACGTCACGGATGGAAAGGAGTAGACAGAAGTGGGGCCAACAAGAGGTCACAGAGGTGTCTGGGCTGGGGTTGGGAAGGTGGGAGGATGAGAGGTGCAGCAGCAAGCCTACCCCTCACCTTGAGGTTCCACAGGTCGTAGCGGAAGGGGCTGCGCCTGCGGGCGCCCATAGGCGTGTTGTGCAGACTGGCCGCCACTCGCTTGGCTACTCGCTTGTCCCGGAACTCCACCCAGCCCTCGGTGTAGTCCTTGCTGTACTTGGACCGCTTTTTTCCTCCCGTGGTCGAAGCTGCCGCTGCCTTCTTCTTGCGCCTCACGAACCCATCTACGCATCAAAGACACAGCAGTGGTCAAGGAGGCCGACGCAGCAACCACTCAACTGCATCTTCGACTCCCCGAGTTCTGCAATCCTGCCCGCGGGCCAGGACCCCACTCAAAGTCTTTGCCCGGAAGAGAAGAACTACAGGTCCACCCCTTCCCCCCTGCACCCTTCCCCCATGTCTAGCTCGATCCTTTCCTCAAGCGTCAACTTCACGAAATCAGGTCTGCCCTGAATATTCTATTTAAAACCCGCACAGACCCCCAAACCCAAATCCAAACAGCGCCTGTAGGAGAGCCAAGGGCGGCACATTTATATACTGTCTCCTGACCTGGGCCAGGATGGCAAACGGATCCGTTCAGTGTAGTGAAAAAACCACCGAGGTTTCTACTCAGGCTGTACTCATTTAACAAACTGGTAAAATGAGATCAGGAAAGGGGTGGGCAGAGGTAAGACAATCCAAAAGTTAAGTGTCCGAGAACTAAGGCTCAGCTACCCTGACTGCGCCACCCACATCCTACCCGAGCCTCCTAGCAGACACGCGCACTACAGATTTACCAAAGGGGTACGGCGTCCGGCCCGGGCCCCTCAGCGCCTAAGACCCATGCAGCCGAGGCAACCGCACATGCGTGCTGACCGGCTGCGACAGCCAGCCTCCTGCCCTCACCGCAAAGGCCAGCGCGCTTACCCTCAGGCTGGAAAAAAACGCGCCCGACCTCGCCATAGGCGCTGAGAAGGTTCCGTACGTGCAGAGGCCGAAAGCGGGGCGGGATGTGGCCCAGGTACACAATACCCGGCACCACCCGCTTCTTGCCGCCGCAAGCTGCCTCTTCGGATTCCTCCTGCTCCTCCTCCGCCTCTGGTTTCTGGTCTCTCCCTTCCAGAGGCTCCTGCTCCGCGGCCTCCTGCTCCGATTCCTCTGCCTCCATGCTTGCGGATCCGTGAGGCCTGACAGCCGTAAAGCGCCGCGCCGTCAGACGCGCATCCTGTGCGACGTCCAGCATCGAGGGGGCGGGGCCGATGCGGGTGATGACAAATGAAAGAACGAGACTGGCCTGCAGGCGGATCCGGGCCGAGCGGAGAGGGCGGAAGTGGGGTCCCAGGTCAGCCGGGAGATTCAAAGCGTGGCGCGGGATCCAAGGCCCGGGAGGGTCAAAAACCGCCTGACTCCTGAGCGGGAGAGGCAGGACCTGAAGAGGCAGATCCCCAAGTATAACATACCCTTGATGAGACGCAGATCCCCAAGTATGACAGGCGCCTAATGAGACGCAAAAAGGCGGGATGAGGCAGGCCATTCCAGAAATCTTGAAGAACTGTTTTGGGAGTAGGGGTGTTTTCTTGTTCTAGCAATCAAAAGAGCATTTTACCCAAGGGACCCGGGTGCGACTCTGGTTGGGAGAGTGCTCACCCTTTTCAAGTTTATTTAAATTTCCATTTTTAAATTAATTGAGTTATGAAATTTTAATTATTTTTCAAAATTTAAGTTAGAGCTTTGTGTATTTTTAAGCTTAAGTTTTGAAAACCTAATTTAACTTTGCAAATACAGCTTAGGGAAATTTAATTAGTTTAAGGTTTGAAAATTTTAGTCGTGAATTTTTGGTTTAAAATATTCGTTTTAAATTTGGCTTTGTGTATAAGATATCTAGAAAATTTAAATGAGTAACTATTTTATTTTAAAAACTTATTTGGCGTCTATTATATATTTGCATTGATACATTATTCATATTTATATTTATATTACAAATACATGCTGTCAAATGTATACAGTGCCCGGATTTAGGCGACCCCGGGGTGGTGCGCTTAGTTCTGGCCTCCGGGGACCTGTCTTCACAGATTTGGCCTCGTCACAAATTGCCTTTCCGTCTAAGCGCTCAACAACCGCGGGAACAGACCAGGTCCCAGCGGTTCCGCCACCCCTGGCGGCCTGGGGGCGATCCCTACGCCAAACCAGAGGCCGCTTTCCCCGCGCGGGCGCTGGGGCTCGGCGCCTTCTGGTGGACTGAGGACGCGCCCACCAGGGGGCTTCGTCCGCGTGCTTCGAGCGCCGCGGTTCCTCCCACTCGCATCTGCGGCGGGGCCGACTGCAAAGGGCCTCGCCCAGGAACACACACAAATAATCCCACCGGCTTTCCGGAAGGGGCCCGGGACGAGTTGGAGCATAACATAAATCCGCCCTTGCTGCAGCCAGAAAAAATCTCCCGTCCCGTTCTAACGGGGGCGCAAAGTAACCCAGAGGACCTAAGCAGAGGGGCAGATGTGTCCGCAGTTACAATCCGAGATGACAGAATTGCCGGGCGGGCCTCTAAGTGTATTTCTAAAGGATCGCAGCGCCACGATCTTCCTAGGAGTGGTCTAAAGATCTCATAAACTAGACTCCTCGAGTTCTCACACACCTGCTTCTTTAATTTTATTGAAGAGAACTGTCAGTTGCTTTCTGCTCCTTTTTTGGAGAGAGGAGAGGACAGAGAGAAAGAACAGACTTGGTCCCGCTTTTAATTCTTAACCCCTACGTCTTTAAAACACTGAGCTACAGTGAATGAAATGAGAGCACATTTTGGGATTGCTTCCAAAGATCAGGGGCGGAGAGAGGGGCATGTTGGGGAGTCCGTTTTGCCAGTCTGATGGCTAGGATAGTAATTTATGCTATTTCCTCTACCTTGTTTATATTTAGAATTGTCCTTAATAAAATATTTATTCACGTAAGTGTCAACATAACAGAGAGCCCTAAAGAACTTCTTCCCCAAAAAATTAAAATGAAAAGGTTGGCGCAGGGCGTCCTTCCCATTCTCCACGCTCTGCATGACCCCTTCTCAACTCGGTTAAATCAGTCTCGCTGGAGACTCCGTCTTACTTAAACGACCCGGTTGACCCCCCGTGAAGCAACCTTTGTTAGTAGTTTCCTGTATATGTACCTGAGGATCATTTATTTATCGATTGCTTATCCTACCAGTTCACCTATGAGCACAAGTTACAATCAACTGCTCACTGCGTTCAAGTTTTCTGTTATGGGTTAAGGGTCCAAGCGTGCAGAGTCTCAATGACAACCTTTCAAAAGGTTGAGTCCTTCAAGCCGGATTCGAACCAGCGACCTAAGGATGACCACGAGCAAGCTACCTACAGTCCTCCGCTCTACCAACTGAGCTATCGAAGGATCTAGAAGGTATTTTCTTAGAATACTTTAAACAGTGTGTCTACTAATGGTTTTGGTTTTGACTACTAAATGTTTATTTCAAAAACCAGCAAACTGAACGAGTTTTCTGGGCTGCTGGAAATATTCTAAAATCGATATGGGTAGTGATTATAAAAGTATATTAAAAAATTAAAGCCCTTGAACACTTAAGATTTGTGCTTTTTACTGTGTTTTAGGTCTTAAAAAAAGCCACCACCAATGTTCGTTGTCCTGCTCTTTTAGGTATAGTATAGATAGGTGTAGATAGGAACATCGCACTAATTATTCCTGCTGTCCCACTACCAGGTCGCTTTGTCTATGAAAAGTGAGTGATAGATGATAAGGTTATCCTAAATATAAACAATTGGGTTGAAGAGGGACCTACTATCTGGAAGCAGAGTTACTCCCAGTTCATTTTGGAAACACTGCAACTCTCCTTTTTAAAGGACAAAGAAAATAATGTGTAGACACAAATGTACTAGACAAAACATGAGAGACCTGTGTGTGTGTGGGGGGGGGGGTGTTTAGGAATTGAGTGGCTCATATTAGATTGCACAGTGATAGTGGGGCAAACAAATGAAACACACGCTTCCCCAAATTTAAAAAAAGAGATGTAGACATTCCATTTATGGCAATGCATTGCTAATGAGCACCTTTAGTGGCATTCAGCTTCCTGGCACCTGAGACAGAAATGAACACCAATGGAAAAAAGAGGAAGCCATTTGGTCACACTCTTCCCAATGATGTATTTATGGAAAAGATTTCTGATGAATTTGTCTATGAAAGATCATTGCTTATTAAAATCAAAGTTCTCCATAACTCTAGTCTTGAAAAAATAAATTTTTCCTCAAAAGGTCCTGTCCAATGATTTCCATGAGAAACATCTGCGACACATAATTAATATTTAATTCAGTTACTCAGTTCCTTTCCATGAGAAACTAAGAATATATGTTCTAGTGCATTTCTTTCCAATAATCTCACGTAATCTGGGGAAAATGGGAGAAGCCAGAGTAGAGAAAGTCCAGAGAGAGGGACAGTTTCTGTGTGAGAAGGTCTCTTTCACATATCAACTGTCCTATCTGAGCCTTGGACACCAGGTATGAAAGCAGAAAAACCTCAGGATCTCAGGTCACATTGTCACTCAAATAAAAGCTTCACCAATTTCCACAGAAAGCAGCAATGGGGCCAGAAAAAAAGATTCAGTGTTTTTCTCATCAACTAATGCTAACGTACAAGTGCTCATTTGTGATCCCAAAGCCTCATGTCTCACAGTCACATGGTATTGCAGAGTTGATTTTAGTCTGAAAAACTCTAATAGCTGATCTCGCCAATTATTTCTTTTACCCATAAACTAATGTGAGTACAAGATTCCCCCTTCAGGGACTCTAAATTACAATTCCATCTGCCTGGAATGCTCTTTCCCCTGGTAGTCCCCTGGAGATACAAGGGCAAGTAATCCACATCTCTTCACACTAGATTTACAGGTCATCTTCTGGGAAGACTTCCTTCTTCCTCTCCTTTCAGAATTTGGTGTCAGAGCTACCCTTCTCTTCCCTCTTGCTTCAAATCCAAGCTGAGAACTGGCTTATGGGTAAATCTGACTCTCCTGAATCATGTCTGGAAACACATCATCATCACTTGATTGTAATCTACACTCACTCTGTACATTTCCTACTGTTTTAGCACCTTCTCATCTTGCTAATTGAGACCTAGATGGTTCTGACTCAACCTTGCCCTCTTCTCCTAAATTTACGGACAACCCTAACAGTCCAATGGAATACTAGCCAGCAAGAAAAAAGGAACAAACTATTGATAAATGTAACAACAAGGAAAATCTCACATGCATTGTGCTGAATAAAAGAGGCCAGATACAAAAGGTCACATAACTATATGATTCCATTCATATGACATTCTTACAAGAACAAACCTATAGGGACAGAAAATATCAATAGTTACCAGAGTAGAATGTAGGAGGAGGAATTTACAAAAGGATCATGAGGAAATTTTGAGAAGTGGTGTAACTATTTTATATCTTGATTGTAATAGTGGTTACATGACTGCATACATTTGTCAAAATTCACTGCACTAAAAAGGGTCACCTTGCTGTATGTAAATTTTAACCTAATTTTAAAAATGGGAAAATAAACTTTCAAAAAATTAAAGTGTAGGTTATAACTTATTAAAAAATCAATGTAATCATCTTATAAGACCGAAAAAGAAAAACTAGATGATAATAGATGCAGAAAAACATATGACAAAATTAAGATATATTCATGACGAAATTTCTGCGAACTAATGATATAAGAGAATTTCCTCAAGCTATAAAGACATATTTAAAAATCCTACAATTAAAATTATATTTAATGGTGAAAGACTGAATGCTTTGGCTCTAAGATCAGGTCTAGAGCAAGGATGTCCATTCTCATGAGTTCTATTCAACATTGTCCTAGAGCTTCTAGCTAGGGCAATGAGGCAAGAAAGAGAAATAAAATCCTGTGAATTTGAAAGGAAAAGGTAAAACTGTATTTGTATATGACACAATATATCTATGAAGAAAATCCTGAAGAATCTACTATAAAGCTACTACATATGAGTTTACCAAAGCTGCAGGGCACAGATATAATAGATTATAATTCTGTTTATTAGTAAGTGTTCCTACTTATAAACGATGAATAGCTGGAACTTGAAATAGAAAATACCATTTGGAATGGTATAAAAAGTGTGAAATATTTGGAAATAAATTTAACAAAATACAATGAAAATACATTTGAAGACCATTTTCATTATGGAAAGCAATATTTTTTAG